TACATTTCTGGATGAATTTATCGCCACGTAACATTCATGCACTAAGTTCAACAGGTATGGGGTGAGCATCGGCCAAAAAGAATCTCGTCTTGGAACAAACCCAATATAGTATCTCTTGCGCATCAATACCCCATCAATTTGAAAGATTTCACCTAGCTTCGCGGAGTGCCAGGTCGAATCAACAGTCCCCATAACTAAAATACGTAGATCAGAAGTGAAACAGATATCACGCTGGATGGCCACGCACCAGAATCTCGCCCTCAGTTTCTTTGAGAAACCTGCCGGTTGCGGTTGGGAGGCGCGTTCCGGCATCTGTGGTTTATATACCATTGCTATAGGCCCATCTGCGAAGATATATCAGCGAAAAGGCTGATCATGCTGTCGGAGTTCAGTTCATTTTCTTCGCTGCCATACAGCGTTGCCTCCTGAAGTCAGATTCGCTTGGCCTGACTAAATCTTCAAGGGGACGCCGCTGTGAGGCAGCGGAATGTAGCATGGATCAATGCGACCCACGGAGGCATCAGCCTCATCAAAGGACGTTTTCGACGCGATGTACGGTAATGGAGAAAAACAGTTAACAGACTGTATTGCAGATAAAATCGACGCCCACCATAACGCGGTTTGTGAAGTGATTCAGGCTGTGTTTTTGAAGTTGCTGTCTTCGCTGGCGCCGGTCGCTTCTTGGTCTCTGGAACACACTACAAGAGTGCGTCAAATTCAGACCAGCCTAACCCAGGTTCCCCAGATGAATCGTGTCGAGCGATCCGCAGGTGCATTTTCCAACACCTTTTGAGTGAGACAGCGTTGCGCGGGGGCGTGGTTGACTTAGGCAGGGCAAGATAGTACGGCCGACGGTCTTGTCGTTGGAGTAGATGGGATTGAAGGATTCGAGTGGGTTGCCGTGGGTGTATATCTGGTGGTATACTTTGAATCTGAGCTGAGATCAAAGAAACAAATTCACAAGGACTATTGCACTGTAGTGATGAGCCCCCTCTGAGGTGCGGAGATGAGAATACTTAGTCTTATCAAATCAATGCTCAAAACCCTAACCCTAACTTTCAAGCTTCGCAAAACTCTCCTTCATCCTTGCTACATCCCTAAATAATGCTACACACACAGTTTGATTGGACATACGAATGGGAGATGAAGGAAGCGAGAAGTATTTTGCATTATTGTTTCCCCACATTGCCAATTGATGCTATCGGCCAGAGATAGTTGACCCTCCTGCGGTTGGACGCGAATCGTCTCTGGCATTGCTCTCCAACGCGTCCAGGAATCTCCCTCGGAGGCTCGGATCCGAACTTGCAGTTGGATCGTAGTAACTGCGCTCCTTTGGCCTGTCGTTTTATGTAAGTATTCTTTTAGTATCGTCCTTTTAAATTTGCATTCAAGTTGTTCATGCGATTGCGTTTTGAAGGTCTGAAAGTCCAGGTTTGATTCCTCCGATAGTTGGGCTCGATGAAGAACCAGAAGAAATTCATTTAGAGCGACAAACTATCGGAGAATCAAGGGCCCAAAAGGATGCACCAGCAAGTCCGCCGTGAGACAACTTGCATTCATGCCGCAATTCGTTGTCGTCCTCTTGTAAAATATGCGCAGTCTCTCGAGCAGACTAGCGTAGTTAAGCACTTCTATGACCACGTCCCGAAAATTTTTCATTGGCGATTTAGGTTGTTTCCGCCTCGTTAATCTCTCAAGTTTCTGCAGGTGCCAACTTCCTTCAGGCTCTACCCAAGTTCATCATCCGACTATCCCCGTCCGTATCCTATGTTCTCCAGCACTTTTCTTCTCTAGGACTTCAGGATCGTCAATTCGAAAATATTCCGTCATACTCGCCATCTGACCACGGCGCTCAGACAACCAATCGCCTCCTTCACAAATTCCGACCCCGCCCACGTCTTGCAGATTACCTACCACCTTCAGCGGGCCCTTCTTAAGCCCTCTCGGAAAGCTCGCGCAGCATGCCTATCATCGACGCAAGTTGATATTTTTTCTTCTTTATTCACAAGGGAAACATTGCGCAGATTTTTACCCCCTCAATGATTATGTGGTCCTACTCCAAGATAACAAGGACAGGGGAGTTGACGACTAGTTGGGGAGGGCAGGAATGATAAAAGTGGCGATGACGGCCAGCTGGGACTGACTGCAACAAAATAAGGATGCGAACTGTCTCCCGTCACGCGGCGCGAGGACGATGGGGATTATTATGGTGAGCCTTATGGCCCTTAACTGTAGCCTGTCGATTCATTCTGCTATCACTCAGGAAACACACGTACCAAATACCTCCGACAACGGAGCGATGACCTGGGAAGTTGTAGTAGGGAAATTCGTGTCGCGCGGGTTGCATTAGGACGCGAAGATGAATTTTCGGAGGGCAACAACCGGACAGAGAGTGCAGAACGATGCTTTTAGGGTGGGTCATTTATGATCATTTCGGTTCGTTCATTACCATGGAAGATCCTACATCTCAAGTATTTCGACGAAAAAACAAGGAGTCTTTCCGTGTCCACCACGAAGGAAACGATGAAGACGCGTCCCAACTCATGAATGGTGAGACGCAATGCGGTACGCCGCTTTCCTGTAACGTCCGCCCTACCATTGATGTTCCTTTCAAATTTCCGCAGACTGCAGAGAATCATGCGGCGAGAATTTGGAGGACGTTGAAATACGGTAAGTAACTCTCCTGCCCTGCATTTCACAGATCACATAATTTGCTCCAGACTTCGCGAATCCATCCTCAAGTCCACATCACCTCGATCAGTTGGACAACCACTGACAAGCTTATGACGCAGATGCTTAGGCCGCGGCGTGGGCGGATGAAGGCTTAGGCAATGATTGAAATGGAAACGGGTTTGAGGCGTCACGTAAAAATCCTGGTTTTTCCTCTCATTCGTTTCATACTAATCAGAGGACACAGGGGCACATACTTGCACGAAATTTTAGACATCGCTTCCTCTGCTAAGACCGAGTGGCTACTTCGAATGTCGAAGCTGGTGTCGGTTGTGGGTTTGCGGCATCATCAAGAGTGCCCTTTCTATACAGTGCCGCACAAGGTCTGATCAACAACAGCAGTCCGTAGTGCGTCAACACTTTTCGGTTTGATGTAAGGCTTTTACTCAATCTCCACTTCTTTTCCACATCCGGACACAGGTTTATGCCACCATATACAGGCCAATCAATGTCATCAAAGCGCCCCAAGGCCTGACAGCTGATAACTGCAAGTCTACAGCCAAATGGAGCGAGCATGTCAATCATGGGAAGTGGCTATGGCCAATTGAATACCAGGTGCGTAAGACGATCGTTCCTGTTGGCAACGCGTAGGGTGGGCTTACATGGGATCTATTGGATACAGCTGAGAGCATCGTCGACAATGAGCTGGGAGCGTAGTCCGTGCCCCTGAACTCACAGATCGTCTACTCTACGCTATGCGCCAAGATTCATACGGAATGGCCAAGGACTCTATGTAGTGGGTAGACCGGTAACCGTTTAACATTTACCTATGAGCAAGACGCAGCATTGGCTGTCCAACCTAATGTTCTTCCCAACAGTTACTGCGCGATGACCGTTTTGGAAGTAAGAATAATGTAGCAAATTTATTAGCACACTCCTAGACGATATCGGCTCTCTACATCAACGTAAATTCGTTGTCAAGTTCCAACGTTCTTCCCAAGCCTTGCAATCGTGAGTATGCCTCATAGAAGACATGAAGACTTCAAGACATTGTCCACTCCCAATCACCCCCGACAACTAGCAATCGTCTCCGGCCTAACCGTCTGCGCAAACCTCACCAACTCATTCACCTGCACCCACCGCTCGTCCTCATGTCCCTCATAAGAACGCCCGCACTTCAAATCGGGAAACAAACCATTCAAATACCGCCTGATGCGAAAAGCGTCCCGCGCATCCCAATCGTCTACTACCGATGCAATCGTGAGTGTATTCAGTTCATGTTTGAGCTCTGAATATAATAGTTTCCTCGATGATAAAAAGGGTTGTACTGCTTGTATGTCGCTCGTATCCAGGGGTATCCGCAGTTCCGTAAGCTTGGGACAACGTTCCGCGAGGACTCGAAGAGACTTCATCCTCGGCCGAATACGAGTGGGAGGGAGGAACGGGAGGAGGAGGTCGTTCAAGTTTGGCCAGGTCTTCGCCCACTCTTCTATCAGGTCATCGCTGATATCCATGAGGTATCCACGTAGACTGAGCGTGCGGAGGTTGTGCAAAGGGAATAAAGGCTTTAACGTGTCGAGAGGTAACTCTTCCGCCTCCGTGTCCTCTGGTGTTAATCTGAGCCCGAAACATCGTAAGGAGCTAGACCAGCGCGAAACGAAGTCCTCAACCAAGAGTTTCATGTCGAATCCTGGTTCAGGAGGTGAAAGGCAGACAAGGTGTCTAGTTGGTCTGTGGATATGTTGGCAACGAACGATTGGATGAATGGGAGCGATGCGGAGATGGTAAGATTCCTTAGGTGTCTGAAGCCTATGATTTTCGCCAAGGGGGGTATTGGTGAGTCTATGAAATCCAATTCGAGGTCTGTAAGCGCCGACAGTGCCCCAACGCGTTCCAACCACGGCAACCTCAAAGATTTGCCCATACCTCCAAGTTCCAACACCCTCAGCTTCTCAAAACGAGGTATTAGCGACATCGTCTCGTTCCCCAGCCCCTCTCCCCTCAGTATAATCTTCGTCAACTCCGCCGCACCGTCATTTAACGGCGTATACAAAAAAGTCCCACACAATTGTAATCTCCCCGATCTCCACTGCTACCAAAGACGGGGAGAGAAAGAGACATATTCCGGAG